TCCACTGGCAAGCTACAAGAATGTACATTTTCAAAGGCCTCTGTAAATTACGGAAGGAGTTGGCGGGGATTAGAGCCGGGAAAAGCTGATCACGTACAAAGAGGGTCATGATCCCATCAGGTCACTGAAAAGAAGACAGAGCCCCAAGACACATCAGATGCCGGCCTGACGTACTGTCCCATTTTAGCCTCCAGCCCCAGCAAACGTTAAGCCATCGTTTTATTTATTAAAGGCTCAGAAAGCTTCTGGTTAATGCTTGGAATCAGGGTGGAACTGCATGTGACTACCCAGGCAAACAGCAGCTGCAGACAGTGGCTCCCAGCCCCAGTGGTGTGGGCACCAGGGGTGGCACATCCTGGCGTGGTGGCTACATGGGAGCACAACCAGGAGCTGCTGTCTCCTCAAGGATACCGGCTTGTCAGCTCAGGGACATCAATATCTGGTTGGTCACCTCATTCCTGCTGCCACTGGGCTCTCCTTTCTCCAGCCTGGAGGGCAACACCATCACCTGCCCACTGCGAGGGCATCGCCCCTGACTCACACCTTTAAATCTCACCTCCAAAATACTAAAGAGCTCATGTATTTGCAATGAATAGCAACTCCAGGGCACAGCCTAACTATCCACTCTCCTCTTCCACATCCCAGCCCCCAAACTGTCCCTTTGCTCAGTCCCAGCATCACATCTCCAGCCAGAGCTCTGCCTCTCCCCAGAGGAGTCTCTGCTGGAAGGTCAAAATGCTGACTGAGATTTGACCACCAGAACTGCTGCTCCAGTGCTGGTGGGAGGCACAGAAAGCTCCCTCTCCTCATCACAAGGGTCCTTCCCCTGCCTTTTGCTGTTATTAGGCTTACTAAGCCATTTGTCTCCCCTGCCTAACTCCCTTCTCCTGCAGTTTTCCTGGACTGCATCACCCCCAGCAGTTTGGCTGGAAGGCTGGTGGGACCATGACTCCTTATGTTTCCTCGTGCTGCCCTGCCTGCTCTCTCCAGCTCCCCTCTCGAACCCAGAGATGAGGACTAGACCATTAAATGGCATGACCAGGTTTACAGAGCAGCCAGTGGCAGAGTGGAGCTGGACCTACACCTCCAGGTGCGCTCTAGGAGCCAGAATATCTTTCAGGAGTGCTCAAAAGCATCTCACTACCACTACAGAGAAAAGCATCCATGGACTAAGTAAGAGAAACTTCAGAGGTTTACCTAACACAGCAGGCAAGAGGAAAGTCCAGGAGACAGGAAATCAAGATGACTGCACAGCCACACCTTTGTTATGCCCACGGTATTAATCATCGGAAGCATTGGTAATAAGTCCTGTCTCCTGTCTAGACTTGGTGGCCATACCCAGACTGCAGAGCCTGTGAAGCCAGCACAAAGGCCTGCTTGAAAAGTTCTTTTTTTTTTTGAACATGAAAGAAATGGAGAAATAAAGATGGATCCTTTGTTGCAGCACTGGAATTGCAGATACTCAATTTTCAAGTCTGTCGTCCAATTTCTCCTCAGTTTTCAACCAGGCAGAAGTTCTGCTTCTCACTGGGCCTTAGGAGATTTGGTTTGGCAAAATCTTCTCACTGTGGAACTTGTGGGTAATCCCATATTTCAGGTTTGCTGGACTTTGCCTTCATTTACTAACTCCATCTCTGTGCACCCAGTACATCCCAGATGGGGATGCAGTGATGGACTGGGGGCCAAAGTTGCTCAAATAGCACTTGATGGACAGAAAAACAAGGCTCCTGCTGCTACAGGATGAAGCCATGTGGGTAAGGATGAGAGCAAAGTGTGTTAAAAGAGAAAAGCAAGTGAGGAATTCCCAAAGGGATGGAGCTTGAGGCCATCTGCTCAGGAAAGTCAGGAGAGCAGAAATCATCAGGAACATTGACTGGAAACTACCCAGTGAAGTGAGCACAGAGGCAGTGAGGACACTGGCATCACCTGCATGAATTTACCCAAATCCCTGTAACTGCTGAATGCTGTATACACACAGGGGCTGAGTTGGCACACGAGGGTCTCCCCAGCAAAAAACAAGATTCCAGAAATTACACCCCACACAAGCAGACCCCACTCAGCACCACACACACACACACACACACAGAGGGTACACAGCCTGCCAGAGACCTGATTGCCAGAGAGAACCCAAACCCACAACCCCCTCGCCACCCCAGCTCAAGGGATCCTTCTGTACAATTAGGACAGTCTGGCTATTGCCTCCTGCCTCACTCCATTTCATTTTACTATTATTATTTAAAAAAAAAAAAAAGTACTACTTTTCTTCTTAAACTGCCTTGGATTTTTCTTCTGTCTAAATTCATCTGGGCTCTGTGCAATGTCACCAGGTCAGCTTGTGCTCCTGCTGCAATTCTAATTTTGCCAGCTTTCCATTTTCTAGGCAGTTGGGAGATTTTTCTTTCTTTCCTTCCTTTTTTTTTTTTTTTTCCCCCAAGTCAAAAATGATTTTGCATAACAGTAATAATGTTAATGGCCCTGCACAGCGCATCCAGATTACAACTGCAGCTAGGGAGAAATAAACATCTCATCTTTGCCCTGCTGTTTATCTCCCCACAGCAGAGCCCGGTATCAGGTCAGAACCTGTAATTTCATTAACTTTATCACTCAGACGCGCTTGTTGCTGGATGTCATTATTCAGCACATCACTCTCGTGTTTTGTTTGTATTGGGATTCACTTCAGATGCTCTGGCACCAGGCGGGAGCATCCCTCCCATCCTCATCGCTGCAGAGCGCTGCCTGAGCTGGGGAGGAAAGTTTGGCTCGCTGAGCCGTGATCTGCAAAATATTTGTGCTGCTCAATCTCCGAGCAGGGACTTCTCTCCCATTTTGCAGGGCTTCATGTCACAGAGCCATCCAGTGCAATCCCCTGCCTGATTCCCTGACTAGATAGATCTAGAAGTAGGGAATAAAAAAATAAAATAAAATAAAAAAACCCAACAACACAACACACTCTTCCTCTTGGAAAGGATAACTGAGCCAGCACCTGCTGAGCGTGGGGAGCACAAACCCCCAGGGAGGGAAGGTGCCCACTCTTGGCATGATCTGGCACCCTGTGAATCAATCAGTGCCCAGCACAGGGGGAAGCTGAAGCACAGGCAGGTGGAGGGTGAGCAGAAATGCTCCATCCTCATTGGATTTGCCATCCTTGGTAATTAATGCTGGGAAGTGACACTTGAAAGAGCCTCTGCTGACAGCCCCGGTGATGATGCCGTTTGGAATCTGCTGACAACTCCCAGCTGATGCCTTATCACAACACAACACGGCAAGAACAGCAAGGAGAGCTTCTCCCATGGGAGTTGATGGGCTCCCTGGAACGCAGGCACACCTCACCCATCCTCAGTGATAACACTAAAACCTGGCAGTTCCAGATGGGCACTGGAAAAAGGCTGACCCTCTCCTCACATTGCAGCCACACTTCAGCTGGGTTTCCCTTATTGCACCTATCTTCAATCCAGCTGTAAAGCCATGCCTGAGCAGAACTGGTTCCCAGCCCTTGGGGCTCTCCAGGAACATGATGCCTGCTCACACCAACTGCAGTTTCTCCACCCCACCTGCCACATCCCTATGGAAATCTGTCTGCAGCCACTGCTAATAGGTGAGTCAAAGCACTCCCAGATCACCACATTTCCCAAATGTGTGCAAACCAGGTCAGAGTGGAAAGCCCACAGCACATATATTTATATTTCTAATCTAGAAACTCTTGACCTGAACTACAGCCACCTTGTTCTTGGCAATCCAGGCTCTAACCAGCTTCAGCAGAGAGGAGTAAGTGAGCGCCTACCATAGCTTGGCTCCTTGAGCAGAGCCTCATCCAAGAGGGAAAAGTGCCCAATCTGGGAGGAAACATATGGTGAACTGGCACAGTTTGGAATGATAAGACCAGGCAAGGCACAAACCTGCCTTGATCCAAGGTGCAAAGCCTGACAGCATCATGAGCAGAGCTGGTAGGAGCATTTGTAAACACCCTTCCCAGCCCAGGTAGCCCTGGCCCTGCAGGCAGCTTACAGCCCTGGCTTGGGAGCCTGTGCAAGATCTTTATTAACAATTCCTGAAGCCCTCCAATAGTCTAATATTGTGCTCTAGATCTTGTTTGCTATTATATTTTGAAGAGTACTGAAATGCAGTTACTGCTGTCTTCCCCACTCACACAACTCTAAATAATTTATAGAAAAGAAAAACAAAGATGATAATATGAACGAATAAAGAAGGTAGCTCAGTTACAATGTATGAAGGCTTTCATTTGTTTATTCTTACTGAGCAGAGGGTTGGGAAAACGTCTCTCAACCCCATAGGCTGCTAACAGCCAGCTGTACCCCAAGGGATGTCAGCAGGGATGCTCAGAGCAGCACATTAGGATGGCAGATTGACCCCTGGGCACCTCTGAGTCTGTTTAAACAACAATAACCATCACCATCATCATAAGCTTGTTTAAAAGGGAAAGAGTAAAGAGCACTTTAAGGGTGGAAGAAACACAACCTCAGCCACCACTTCTGACCATCACAGGGGCAGGGAGCTGCTTTCCAGACACAGTGCATCATCTAGGCTCTGCCTGGCTCTGCTGCTCAGTCTGCTCCCTGGAGCAAAAAGGAATCCATGTCCCCATCCCTGCCATCCTGTTGGATGCTCCAACAGGGCCACTCAGTCTTTATGGGAAGCCCACACAAGAAGAGAGGGATGGTTCAGCATTGCCCCAAGATCCTTTCCCTGCACAGAGCAAGCCAGTACATCCCACATCCCTTCCTCGCTCCTGCTGGAGCCACTCGCAGCACTAACAATCGGCACTAATGTGCTTTGCTTTTGTTTATTCAAATGCATTTTACTGTGCATTGCAGGTGAACAATATTAAATGGCTTATAATAACATTTCAATAAGCAGAGGTGGGTGTAGAGGCTTCTGAGAGACAGACTTTTAAAAACGCAGGCAATCAAGTGTGCATTAGCAGGAACACTCTGGGGAACGCGCCGCTCCCCGGAAAAAGGAGGGAGGGAAAAGCCACAAACCTTTCTTTTCGTAGTCGGGTTTCTCCTCCCCGCCCCGGCCCAGGCTCTCCAGGGTCCGTGTCACTTGGCTGCCAAACTCATCCTCCCTGGTGCTGGGCTCTGCCCGCCGCGGGGTCTCCTCCTCCTCCTCGTCCTCGTAGTCGTCCAGGATGGGGGTCTCTCGGATGGGCACCCCGATGACGGAGTTGTGGGCCTGGAGGCGCGAGTTGCGGAAGCTCTCGCGGGCCTGGGGGCCCAGCAGCACCGAGGGGATGTAGTGGATCTCGTGGGTGGCCTCGGTGCTGGCGCTCTTCTGCGGGATGCGGCGGCGCTTGTGCCAGCGCCGCTGGGCGTACAGGGCCACCATGAACACCAGGAGGAGCAGGAGCAGCGCGATCAGCCCGCCCTGCGAGAGGAGAGAAAAGGACACGGGGTCAGCAGATGCAAAGGGTGCAGGGATGGGTGATGAGATGCTGCAGTGCCTAGAGAATTATGGAATGGTTCGGGTTCGAAGAGACCTTAAAGCTCATCTTGTTCCAACCCTCCTAGGTTCCAACCCACCTTCTACTATCCCTTGTTGCCCCAAGCCCTGTCCAACCTGGCCTTGAACACTTCCAGGAATGGGACAAGCCACAGTTTCTCTGAGCAACTTGTTGCAGCTCTTCACCACCCTCCAAGTAAACTCTCAGAGCACACTTCCATCAACACAGGTGGGTTCATGGAGCAGCCACCTCTGGGGTTGGGGGTCAAGTGGAACAGGATGCCAGAGGTGACCTTTAGCTGGGGACAGTACAGCACACCCAGCTCAGCTCTGCCCATTCTCCCATCAACTTCATTCCTTCCATGCATTCCTTGGGACCCCCAGCCCCCCTGCTCACCTACACACGGGGAGATGGGGAAAGAGACAATCACATCCAGCCACTTAGAAGGAAAAAATTCATTGAAACAACCCAGCCAGGTCACAGGAGCAGTAAAGCCTCAGCAGAGATACACAACATTTTATAGAAATGATGGTGCAATAAAAGGCCCCACGGAGGCACCACTCCCCAGAGTATGGTTAATCCAGCTCCCTCATTTGTGATCTGACTTCGCTGTGGTTTCAAGACTTCAAGTGCTGTCCTGGGGGGACAGCTCCAGGTATTACAGACCAAGACCTTCTCTGTTAAGCTCTCCCCTTTTCCCTTCTCCTTTATTCACCATAGCTCTCAACTACATGAACATTAAAAAAAAAAAAAAAACAAAACAAAAAAAAAAAAAAACATACAAAAAAACCCCAACCTCCAAATATAAATATATATATATCTCAGAGAAAGTGGCATCTCCTCTCAAGGGATCTGGGCTAGGAAGTACTGCAGGGAGCCAGCCCTGCCTCTGGCTGCTCTGGAAGTTAAATTGAGCCCCGCACACGCAGGAGCTGTGCCTGTGCCAGCTTCCAGCCTCTTAATCTCCGCAGCATCACAGCAATTTTATCCCGTGGCAGACAAGCAAGGCAGGGCATGTAAATCAGGAGCAGCACGAGCGACCAGGGCTTTGCAGAGTGACATGAACAGGCAGGGCAGGGCAGGCGTTCCTTCAGCACTGGGAATGCCACAGCCCAGAGCTCCACAGAACGCAACAGCAAAGTGGAGGTGTGAAAATATTCCCTCTGTATTCGATATGAAGCACCAGACTGCACCCAGAGCGCTGCTCTGACTCCTAAGCAGGATCAGCTGCGAAGAGGTGGCATCAAAAACCACAGCTCACAGGATAAGTTCACTGGGGAGAGGCCTCGGGAGCTGGATTAGAGGGGAGACACTTCCCTGTGTCACCCCAGCCTGCCACAGAAGGGAGCTCAGTCCAACATCCCCCACATCAGGATCCCTTTCTCTCCCCCATAATTGTCACTAACAGAAGCAAGGCTCAGTGTCCAGGAGCTGTCCAGGATCATCTCTGTGGGGGTGAACAGCAGGGTGTAGGGAGAAGCACAGTTTATACCCTGAAGCACCAGAGCACTTCAAAGACCAGTGGGATGAGGACCCATCATGGCCTTCCACACTCAGAAGCAAGAACCAGCATGAACACCTCAACCTGGGAGAGAAGACACATGTTTCTTTGGGTCTGCACAGTGCCTGATGATGCTCTGCCACTAAGAAGTGACTGCAAAGCACTCTGCACCCACGAGCACTCACCCTGCATGGAAAACCACAACAGGAGTCAACCCGGATGCTTGAAAAAAGTCAGGAAGACTGAGAAAGTCTTACAGGAGGAGCAGCTGTGCCAGCTAGACCTGGAGAAGGGGTCTGGGCACCCGTGGCAGGGCTGGGGGCTGTGAACCAGCCTGGCTGGGCTCACCTTGTGTCTGTCCCTGGGAAACTGCTCAGAGCAGATAAACCTGTCAGCACGTGAAATTAAACATCTCTCTGTTTGGGAGGAACTACCAAAAGGCATAAAGGCACAGAGGTTACCAGTGCACCGTTCCCCCTCCAATTCAAGAATGACAGGGAAGGGCTCCCAGCCAGCCCCAACTGCAGCTCCCACATCCTTTGGGGACGAGCCACAGAGCTCTGCTGTGCCAGCCAGCAAGACAACAGCCCCCCCTCTGCCTGAGAAAGGCTGGGGGTGCCTGTACCAGCCCCTCTGGAGAGCACCACGGGCTCATCACAGGCAGCTCACTTTCAACGTGCTCCTTTCATCCCCGACCCTGCACCGGCAGCTCCTTGTTTAACCACACCACACACGCCGGGAGAGCTTCCCAGGGAAAAGGGAGGGGAAAAAAAAAAAAAAAAGAAAAAAAAAAAAAGAAAGAGTCAAACTTAGGAGGCATTGAAGCCAGCCTCATTTTAATCTATTTTTCATGTTAAATTATCCAACTGAGGGAGCGGTAGAGAGAAAGGGGAAAGAAGGGATAATATGAGAAATGTTTTATTTGACAATGTGTCATTCGGAAACTGATTATTTCTGTCTCCAAGCTTTTTAATATTCCCAAACAATGGCCGAGCCGCACGGGGATTTGGTATTCTAAGGCTGGATTTATAATACTCTGTTCTGCAGTGATAAGAACATGGGCCTTTAATCCTCTGAGCTGTGAACATGCATATTCTCCCACGTAATGTCCTTCCCACCACGCTCCTGCCTGCCCTGGGCCAGCCAAGGAGGAGCCACGGGCGCCAGAGAGTTACTGAGACCCACACAATGGATGGGCAAGGGAGGATGGGGGAGAAGAGGTCTAGTGGGGACAACCCACGTGTGTGAAGAACTGCAGGGCTTGTGGCACCACAGCAAACCTCAGCTGAAGCTGGAGAGCAGCAAGGCTGGGACTTATGTGAAGCAGAGAAGGAAAACCGACGGGAGAGGCCACTTTGAAGCCCAAGAGACTGGGCACTCACATAAATTATGAAGGCTGCCAAGCTGCTGGATTGAAGGGCGATCACTCTTCGGGCATCTGTCCAAGATGCTTGTCCAAGATGCTGAGCAATTTCTGAGCAGCAAGAGGACACGTGCTGCTTCAAATACAACCACCAGCCTGCCCTACCAAAACAGTGAAGAGACAAGGGAGCTCCACTGCTCCTCTGAGATCTGGACAAACTTCTCTACAACAGGCTCTGGCCTTTACAGCTCTGCCTGGTCAGTTCTGCTCCCCATAGTGGGGGGATGTGTTATGGTCCCTGCGGCTTTGTAATCACACTGAATGCAACCCAGCCATTCAGAAAGCAAGCCCTGATTGTCTTCCAGCTGCCACCCAAGAGGGCTGAAGTCAAAGAAGGTCCCAGGCTAGAGGGGAACACAATTTGGGCTGAGCAGACCTCTTACACCACAGCATCCCTTCCACAGGTCAAAGCAAAACTGGTGCTGAACAGCACAGCACTCAGCCTGTGCTACCCTGGGTCCCTTCTGCTGCTGCTTTCAAACAGAGACAAGGTTACATCCTAGGGGAAAAAACATCCCAATTTCTTTCCTAACAGCAATAACTACACAACCCTCGGGGCTCTTCACACTGTGTACTTTTCCTTTCTTTCCCTTTTGGCTATAAAGGTAATTAAACACTAGGACATTTACCAAGGGGTGTAGTGGATTATCCATCACTGTCAATTTTTTTTTCTTTTTTTTTTTTTTTTTTAAATCAAGCCTGGATGCTTTCCGAAAAGTTGTGCTGTATTTCAAATGAGAAATAAAAGCCTAAGGGCATTCTTGCACCCTGTGTGGCTCTGAGGGCGGAGCAGATGACCCTGGGGTTCCTTCTCAAAATTGCACTCACCCCAGTTTTAGCTTTCCCACATTTCAGCTCCACAGCATCTTACCTTTCTCTGAAGCATTTCATCCCACCCTAGATGACCAGAGAGCCAAAGCACCACCAGAGCTTGGATGCAAGGGGAGGTCAGGCACAACCACATTATGGCACACCAAGAAGGGGAGATACCATGAGCAGGGACCAACATCCAGAGCCAAACTGGAACAAGGGGCAGGACAGGACCCAGTTGCTCAGGACAAAAACTGACTCCTGGCTGGTCACTGCCAGTGCTGAGGGCTATCAGCAGCACTCAGTGAGCAGGTGTAGCAAACACCTGTACTGGGTTTTAGCTACACCGTAATTTGAGGTGACAGATTTCTAATTAATTGAACCTAAACCAATGGCCAGCAGCAGCACAGAGCCCCTGTAAATGCCATTTCAGCAGGCAGAGCCTTGCTCCTGTGCACAGACCATCCAAAGCCATGTTCCAGGGCAAACCACAACCAGGAACAGAGCTGGGATATTTTGTATCAGCCAGGAGAGCAGTGTCTAACAGGCAATCAATCCATCAATTTTCTCAGATGCAGCCACACTCGGAGAAGACACCCATAGATTGGTCAGTGGGCAGCCCCAGACCTCGCCATCCCCTCCCTCCCAGCTCTGCCAGCAGGTCCAGGCCAGGACCCCAATACCCAAACCCCAGTGAAACTGCATTTGGGATGACTTTGGAATTAAAGTATCCCATTTAACATGTTGGGTTGCACAGTATCTGCTTCTTCCCATTCCACTTCAAACCTCACACCGTACCAGCTTCCCCATAGGACTCCTGTGCCTTATTGCTCTTTCTCTCTTTGCTTCACCTTTCATTTAAATATTCCTTCTGCAAATCCTAATTAACATACTCTTTGCAACTTCTTTCCAATCACTAATGATGAAAAATAAGGCTGATCTCTGCAGTCATCTCAGTCATCCCTCTCCTGAGCACTGCTGTTTATCCCGACCTTCCCTGCATCCTGCCACTTCCTCATCCTCCCAGGACACAAGACATATCTGAATGTGAACCCTCCAGCTTTAGGGAAAGAACAGGGCTGGGGAAAGGATGCTACACTGTGCTCTTCCCTAGAGCAGGGATAATGCCAGATTCCCCCTGTAATGGGGGAGTTTTGGTTGTTTCGTGCAAAATCAAGGTTCCTGCATCC